AAATTATTTTTTAGGATAAACGTTTTAATATTTCTCATTAATACAAAAGAAGATTGCAACTTTTCTTAAGTATTAGAAACTAAGTGAAAGTGCAATGATGTGTCATTCAGACCCGCCAAAAATTGAAGTTTTAATAACTTTTAAATGAAATAAGATTGCCAATTAATTTTTTGTTTGAAATACTATTAAAATATATAAGTTGTAATATTATACAGAAAATATTAACTTCAAATCTGTGTCCATGCACCTTTAATAGTGCATTAAAAAAGATAATAAAGATAAATACCTTTTGAGTAAGTTTTGAACTTATTAATTATCCCCACGTCTATCTTAGATGCGTTGGAAGAGAACAATCACACCTGCTATTCGCCCTCTTGAATAAAAACGGATGATTAGTAGGCAAAACTTATATAAATTCCTAGGATCCTCTATTACACTATGAAATAGAACTCTTTAAATACCATAAAAATCAGAATATATTACGGGTCCTTTAAAACAGATTTTTAAACTCTTTGTCAGCTTTCAAAGTACGCACATTACATAAGAACGTTCATTCTTATATCCTTATTCTAGAGATAATTACTGCAATTTTATCTACAATCAGTAGCTCTTCTTGATCAATTATTTTTTAAAACAAAAAGAAAACACAAAAATTAATTTTAGAATATGACAGTTACCCACCACGACTTACTGTCATGACAACTTATTTTTTGTCAAAGTTGCCTGGTAGTGACAACATCAAAGTTTACCTTCTTAAAGGCCCAGGTTTTCAACTGTACGGTTTTCCTCAGGTAAGTTTGGTGTGGGTTGGAGCTTAATCGAAGCGGTTGAGAAGCCCTGAGGGAACGACGCTGGCTTGTGTATACTACCTATATACACACAGGATGATACCTGAGTGTATTACCTGTATGCGTTTTAATTCCTACGACATTGTAATATGAAGCCGTTTTTTCCATGTGTAGCTCAATTGAAATTCATAAAATAAATGCATGTTTTTGTTGCGGACAGGGTCTTTCTCAAATTCTTTCTTTTAAAATCAATATTTTAAATAATTCGACAATTTTAATCAAATGTTATAACTAAAATACATGTACACGTAGCACCAAGATCTGTCTTTGAAATCTGGCGACAAAAAGGGAAGTTATTCAAATTACACGACGTGTACGCAAAGAAGATTGATTGATTGTATATTGTTTAACGTCCCTCTCCAGAATATTTCACTGATATGGAGACGCCACCATTGCCGGTGATGGGCTGCAAATTTTGGCCTATGCTCGGCACTTATGGCCTTTGAGCAGGAAGGGATCTTTATCGTGCCACATCTGCCGTGCAATTGTGTTTGGTAGACTTTAACAATTGAACGCACCCGGTGAATCGTAAACATCAACAATAACAGAGCTCGTGTCCTGTTTACAAAAAACTGTGTACATAACACGGGTGTGATCAATTTGCTAAACTCTGTACGCAACTCTTAGCTCGGAATGACTATACCTGTGTAGGAGTTTTGCTTTCTAACATTTCTACTCTGAATAAAATTATTTTTTAGGATTAAAGTTTTAATATTTCTCATTAACACAAAACTAGATTGCAACTTTTCTTAAGTATTATAAACTAAGTAAAATTTGTGAAAGTGCAATGATTTGTCATTCAGACCCGCCAAAAATTTTTAATAACTTTTAAATGAAATAAGATTGCCAATTAATTTTTGTTTGAAATGCTACTAAAATATATAAATTGTAAAATTATACAGAAAATGTTAACTTCAAATCTGTATCCATGCACCTTTAATAGTGCATTAAAAAAGATAATAAAGATAAATACCTTTTGAGTAAGTTTTGAACTTATTAATTATCCCCACGTCTATCTTAGATGCGTTGGAAGAGAACAATCACACCTGCTATTCGCCCTCTTGAAAAAAACCGGACGATAAGTAATCAAAACTTATATAAATTCCTAGGATCCTCTATTACACTATGAAATAGAACTCTTTAAATACCATAAAAATCAGAATATATTACGGGTCCTTTAAAACAGATTTTTAAACTCTTTGTCAGCTTTCAAAGTACGCACATTACATAAGAACGTTCATTCTTATATCCTTATTCTAGAGATAATCACTGCAATTTTATCTACAATCAGTAGCTCTTCTTGATCAATTATTTTTTTAAAACAAAAAGAAAACACAAAAATTAATTTTAGAATATGACAGTTACCCACCACGACTTACTGTCATGACAACTTATTTTTTGTCAAAGTTGCCTGGTAGTGACAACATCAAAGTTTACCTTCTTAAAGGCCCAGGTTTTCAACCGTACGGTTTTCCTCAGGTAAGTTTGGTGTGGGTTGGAGCTTAATCGAAGCGGTTGAGAAGCCCTGAGGGAACGACGCTGGCTTGTGTATACTACCTACATACATACAGGATGATACCTGAGTGTATTACCTGTATGCGTTTTAATTCCTACGACACTCTAATATGAAGCCGTTTTTTCCATGTGTAGCTCAATTGAAATTCATAAAATAAAGCATGTTTTTGTTGAAGACAGGGTCTTTCTCAAATTCTTTCTTTTAAAATTAATATTTTGAATAATTCGACAATTTTAATCAAATGTTATAACTAAAATACATGTACACGTAGCACCAAGATCTGTCGTTGAAATCTGGCGACAAAAAGGGAAGTTATTCAAATTACACGATGTGTACGCAAAGAAGATTGATTGATTGATTGATTGTATACTGTTTAACGTCCCTCTCCATAATATTTCACTGATATGGAGAGCCACCATTGCCGGTGAAGGGCTGCAAATTTTGACCTATGCTCGGCACTTATGGCCTTTGAGCAGGAAGGGATCTTTATCGTGCCACACCTGCTGTGACACGGGGCCTCGGTTTATACGGTCTCATCCGAAGGACCGCCCCATTTAGTCGCCTTTTACGACAAGCAAGGGGGTACTGAGGACCTATTCTAACCCAGATCCCCACGGGGCCGCAAAGAAGAAAATGGGTCATAAATAACTTTCTCGGTAAATAACAATTAAACGTAGAAACAATGTTTTGAGAATAAATTGGTCAAAAATATAATTAAAGTCTTAATATATATATTTTTGAGATAAACCCTACGTGATTTTTCCATAACGCATGGTCTGTAAAAATGGCCAGGGGTTCGGACCGAGAATGATTCCCTGACAGCTAGGCCTATGTGTGAAACACGAATGGAATCATCAGCATCATACTTTTTTTCTTTCAGGGTTCACAATTTCAAATATTAATTAAATGCGAAGCAAGATGTTATAATATTATTAATCCGACTAATTTCGCTTCTAAAACAGCAGGCATGCTAACGAAGCTATATTAGGACTACGGTGTGTCCTAAGAGCGTCTTAGGAAATGTCTTAGTCTTAAAGGCCCAGGTTTTTAACCGTACGGTTTTCCTCAGGTAAGTTTGGTGTGGGGTGGAGCTTAATCGAAGCGGCTGAGAAGCCCCGAGGGAAGGAGGCTGGCCCGTGTATACTATCTATATACACAGGATGTTACCTGAGTGTATTACCTGTATGCGTTTTCCCACGACATTGTAAAATGAAGCCGTTTTTATCCGATGTGTAGCTCAATTGAAATACATGAAAAAAGCAGGTTTTTATTGCGGACAGGGTCCTTCCCGAATTCTTTCCTTTAAAATTAATATTTTTAATAATTCGGTTATTTCAATATACTGCGTGTTTGTGAATCAAATGTTATAACGAAAATACATGTAGCACCAAGATCTGTCGTTGTAAACTGGCGACAAAAAGGGCAGTAATTCAAATTACACGAGGTGTACGCAAAACGAAAGAAGAAAGTGGGTCATAAATAAGTTTCTCGCTAAATAACAATTAAACGTACGAAGAAACGATGTTTTGAGAATAAATATTTCAGAAATATAATTATAGTATAAAAAAATATTTTTTAAGATAAACCCTACGTGATTTTTCCATAACGTAAAAATGGCTAGGGGTTTGGACCGGGAATGATTCCCCTGTAATAAATTGCCAAATTGATAAGTCAGGTTTAAAGTCCAAAAATATGAATTTCACAAGTATAATTTAGAACAAATTTTGTAGATAAAACAAACTGAATTTTACAAAGAATTTCTTAAAAGTAACTCACTTACAAACTCACTCACATCTAATCTTTGACAACTCCGCCCACTTTCGTACTGACCAGCCAATTAAATTAAGGATAGAAAATTGCAAGAACAGGGGGAATTCGTATGACATTAATTTACAACACTGAAATTAGGTAGAGCTAAGCATAACAAATTCAAAGAACACGATCCTTAGATCTAACCATAAAGTTGATAACAAGTATGAGTAAATGACATTGATATCGTGAGACAGGAAAGAGATGTCAAGAATTAGATATTGGTAACATGTGCAAATTGCATTCACTAAACATCAAATGAAAACAATTAACTTTCAACTACAGATGTCAAACAAGACCGAAAAGTAATAATCACCCAGATAGCATGACTATGTTGGGCCAACGTTGGCGCACAGTTGTTGACTGCGTTGGTCCAACGTTGGCAACCTAACGTTGGCCCAATGCAAGTTTGCTCATCGGCCCTACGTTGGCCCAACATGTTGGCCCAACGTTGGCACAACGTTAGCCCTCTTTATTACTGTATTAGGTCAATGTTGGCCCAACGTTGGCCCAACGTCAATTACCAACAATGATTGTATCAACAAAGGCCCAACGTTGGCCCAACGTACTTTTTGTGTTGGCCCAACAATGGCCCAACGTCCGTTCACCAACATACCACCGATGGCTCAATGGGGGTTCAGTGTCCGGTACCTGTGTTGGTCAAACAATGGTATATTATTTTTTTTACGGACAGTTGTTTTTTTCAACGTAGGGCCAACAGAGGCCCAACCTATCCTACGTAAATAAAGATTTCCATTCAAAATTAATCCATCTTGACAAAAATAAATAACGAGCTAATGTTGACAAAGAGGCAAAAGAAAAAGTGATAAACTGTACAATTTATTTGTTAGTTTCTAACAAATTCTGTTAAGTCTGTTTCAATATTATAATAATAATTAAATAAAACATTTGCCAAAGCTTACAGAGTTTACACATAAAACAATTTTAATATCCAGTTGTATAATAATACGTCTTGCTTTCATGTTTCTGCCTTAAAATGATTCAAAATGTCGAATATATACTCCACACTTCCTCTGTATCACTTGCACCTATGATTGACATGATTCGGCACACTGTCAAATCTAAAACGTTTAATATAATGAGACAGTTGAAATTTCAATTGCAAACGCTATCTTCAAACATCATCTCACATCAATTCCAAAACCGGTACCATCCCTTTGTTCACAAAAAAACTTGTAAAATCCCATAAATAGAATATAAAGGAGCTTAAAGTTCACAACACAACTTGGCAATATTTGAATTTCAATTTTTATCAATCTGTATTGTTTAAGGACACAAATAGTATTATCCAAGAACATTTGAAACATCATTCTTTGGTCATGTTCGGATTGCATTTGTTTTTCACATATTCAATTCTTTTTCCATTTTCTTCCTCCTTCTTCATAGTCATCAATGAACCAGTTTCTAACAACTGCTGAATCTCTATATCTGATGCACACAGCACATTTTCCCGTCTAAGAACAATGTATAGCTGTTAAGAAAAGTGAATTACATATTTAAATATTGATGAAATATTTATTTTGTCATGCAATTCTGATTACCTTTCAAATGATGCATTTAACCCTGTTTGAATACAAAAGAATCTTACCATTAAACACACCTTACCATTTATACTAAATGTTTGATGTGAATATATTTTTCAATCTATTTCACTTCTCGTCATGATTTATAATGTGAGATACTTTGTATTTCATATTAACTGAATCATTTTATACAAGAAGTAGCTATAGTTTTAAAATATAATAATACTTTACTTACATTTCTTTTAGGACTTAGCCGTTAGTCGTTGTGTGCACCGAATTTTTAAAATCCCAACCTTACTGTAACATCCTCTGTATTTTGAGTTTATCAGCCAGATGTGAGTAATTAAACTTGACAGCTCTCCACATATTTTGGTGTTTAAATTGCTGCGACTCTTTCAGTTTTAGCGACTCGCCTAACTTTTGTTTGAATGCAATTATAAAGCTGACTGAGTTATCTTGATTTATGCGTCATTCACATCCCGTCCCTGGGAACTTTTAGTTTCCATATTATATGCTTAAACTTTTATTCAGTCGTTTCTATATTACCGGGTATACTAATGTAAGAAAAACTTTTATTCAGTCTCCTTTTATAATGAATTCACGTTAATTCTATACGAGAGAAACAAATCTTACAATTACGCTCAAATTTTAAGCTTAATTAAGATTTCAAAATTTATAAACAGACACTATATAGAGAAAATTGTTTGATAAGTGGATACTAATAAATGGAAGGTATTACTGCCATCAATAAATTAATTAGTTTTGTCTCATTGCTATGGAAGAAGTTAATCTCATTGCATGGACAAAGAATGTGCTCTTACTTAGAATCTAAATCCCCCTTTAAATTAAATACGCTTATAATAAGTAAATATCTGTTGGGCCAACATAGGACCAATGTACTCATCCCGACATAGAAGAGAACACTTGCCCTTACATAGGACCGACGTTGGGCCAGCGTAGTTTTACCAGCCTAAATGATCTTTTCATAAAAGCCTAGTGTATGACAAACACTGGGCCAACGTTGGGCCAACGTAACGCTCCCAACTCATGCACATCCTACTTTAGTTTGCAGTCCAACTGTTGGCCCAACATTGGCCCAACGTACTTACTCTAACTATAAAAGAACACTTAAAACAAACACTCAAGCTTACATTGGGCCAACGTTGGGCCAACATACTGCTACCAGATTAAGTTGACAACTTGGTTAAGGTTGCATTACAAACGTTGGGCCAACGGTGGGCCAACTTTGAACCCCAACTTCATTAGAAAATGTAACGAAACGAAATTAGTTGATGTTGGACCAACGTTGGCCCAACGTAAGAAACCCAACATGGTTGGGTACTAAAGAGGTAATTCACATAGTAACGTTGGTCCAACGTTGGCCCAACATTGCCTTGCCAACGCCAACTATCAGCCAACCGTACAACCTTTAACCAACGTTGGCCCAACGTAGTCATGCTGTCTGGGCAGTTATATAAAAATATATTCATAATTAATAATTTGTTATTTAGAAACCCTTATAACCCATAATCATAACATCCGCCCACAGAAAATAAAATTGTAAAACAATTTTACATGGGGTTAATAAATGCAAATTAATATTTTTAAAAAAATGAATAAAAATGAGGATTACACAAAAAAAAATAAACAAGTGTCACATACAATCTACAACATGAGTAAAAACTCAAAACAATGTTCTCGTACTTGCGCTTTTCATTAAGCTGTACATTAGAAACATATTAAATTGTAATTGTAAAAATAGGTATAACCCGTAATGACACAAATAATTGAATAAAAAACAAACAATACATTTATCCATCTAGCATTTAAGTACCATGGTTTACAAAACAATTCCAATACATGGAGACATTGATATACAGCAGCTAAAATAATTACTTAGATAAAGGATGACTTCGAAACAGCCATAATCAAACAGTAATTAATAGCAGAGCTTGTAAACATTACTCCCTCACATAGTCGGTCACTCGACTTAATTATCTCCTCAGCACCACGAGACGAGCTCCTGCAGTTAAATAACTAGAGCAAATTACCTTCTCGGACAAAATGCTGTGTAACATAATTCACTCCAAATAGTAAATGAATGATCTCAAAATCTAATCATAAAATAAAATGAAAAATCTATACAAGCGCGCAATGATAAACAAAATACAAAATAAAATCAACTAATAAGGATGAAAAAACGACACATAATAATGTACAACATAGGATTTGTGGCTCAAGTAATAAAGGGAGGGGCTCTTTTTTGAATAGCTTCCCTGGCTTTGGCGTTCAAATAAGAAGGCGCAACCCAAAACGCATTATCTGCAGGTTCGCCTGAAATCTGGATCAGATACTGCAATCCTTTGGGAGAGTATCGCTGACCTAAGATTTTCTTGACTCTGTGAAACCCATCACTGTCAGATGATGCCGTGTAGGTGACAATATCCCGCGGGTCCACATGATTGTCATCCCGGAAACGAAGTGGTTTCTTGATTGTCCGTTGAGGGCGCTTAGGATGTGTAACCTCTGGAACGTCCGGTTGTGTCGTTACCACATCAGTCTGACAGCTTTGGTCTTTCTGCGTGACTTGTCTTGCAGACACAACACTAAAAAAATCAGAAGGGGTAGGCTCCCGGACAAAAGCTTTCTTAACACGATTGATGTGAACGATGTTATCTAGCGTTTTGTTGGTGACTGGGTCCTTCAGTAACACAGTGTGTGCACTTGGGATATTGTGTACAACGTAGGGTCCGGAAAATTGGTTTTGAAGCTTGTGTGCGTTCTCTTTTTGCACAAACACATAGTCATTCTTCTGTAAAGTTAAGGGCCGAAGGTTGGTATTTGCATTGTTTAACATTGTGTCTTTGGCTTTTTGAACATTTCCCATTATTTCTGTGCGAATGATGTTTATTTTACTCAATTTTCCTCGAAGAAATGTAGCTATATCCTTGGGAATTTCCATTGGTTCTTTATGATAGTTGACAAGTGGAAATTTTGGTCGACACCCGAATACAATCTCATAGGGAGAATATCCCAGACTAGTGTTCACGGAACAATTAATGGAAAATACAACAGATGATAAGTAATCTTCCCAGTTGCTTTTGTCTGGAGATATGTAAGATGTTAGTCTCTCAGCAAGTGTCGCATGTATCCTTTCACAGGCTCCAAGGCAATGGTGCGCAAAAGCCGGAGTAAATTGTTGGGCGATATGCAGCATCTTGCAGAGCTCGGACGTCACCTTGGCTATAAACTCACTTCCCTGGTCACTAATAACCGTACTACATACTCCATATATCGTAATAAGCCTGAAAAACGCATGGGCGACTGTCATAGCATCTTTTGATTTGATAGGATATGCGACGAAATATTTACTAAACATGTCAACAGCCGTGAAGATGTAGGAGCTTCCTGGGTAGATAGGGGTAGTGGTCCATACAAATCAATTTCCCAAACTTCAAAAGGCGCAGTTGGTGTGGGATAGGAAGTAACACCAGATTTAGTAGGCATTCGAGAAATTTTTCGTTTTTGACAATGTTGGCAGGATCTTACATAATCGCTGACAATTGGAGACATCTTCTGGAAAAAATAATGTTCCTTAATTTTGTCTAGAGTGTCCTGAATGCCACTATGAGCAGCCAGCGGGGAGTCATAATGCATATATAAAAGGTCTTGAATCATTTCGTGTGGGACCACTAGTTGATATTTGTTTAGCGTTTTGGCTCTCTTTGATTTTGCATGACGAGAGTGAAACAGCATGTCATCGATTAATGCGTAATCTGAGTGTTTCAAGAGAATGTCTCTGGCCAGTTTTTGTGAGTCTGGGAGTATGCCATTTTCAATGTAATTTATCAGATCTTTTAGTTCTGGGTCATTGTGTTGTTTCTTTATGACATCTGATTTAAGAAAGGTGGTGTTTTGAGCATAATCAGTGTTTTCATTATCAACGGACACAGGTTGCTCCCGAACACTTTGTGGGTCGTCTGCTTCAGTAGCACGTTGATAACAAATATTTTGTTCTGCACAGCTGGAACTGTCAATTTCGGTAGTCTTATCGAATGGTTCAGAACAGACGGCGACCTCAGGTGAACTTTGCAATTTACCGTGGGCCTTGCCAGACTTAGATCGCCGCCGCTTCTTACGTAATGGCAACCGAAAATCGTCTTCGGTATCAGCGTCATAATCACATCTAGAAGCCTTGATGAAATTTACTTCTGGATTACGGGGAAACAGTGTGTGTAAGTCCTGCCCGTTAGGTAATTTTACCGATGTTGGCGTCTCTGGGACATAAGGGAAATGCGGATCATCTTCCTCTGGACTTGATTCTAGGATTGTAGAGAATGCTGGATTCCTGGACAACGCATCTGCCACACACATTTCTGAAGCTGGTTTATATTTGATGTCGATGTCGAATTGCTGCAGAATTGCTAGCCATCTCTCGTAAATTGCACCTTTTAACTGCTTTTGGAATAGGGGTTTCAGGGCCTGATGATCGCACTCAACGACACAGTGTCTTCCACGTATGTAAGGCGCACAGTCTAATACCGCAGTTACCATTCCTAAAAGCTCAAGTTTTGTAGGGCCATAGGAGCGTTGCCATTGTGCGAGTCCTTTGGAACCAAATCTAACAACTTTTGAACTACCGTCCTCATGGATTTGATATAACATGTATCCCAATCCGCGACATGATGTGTCCACTGCAAGTCGAAATTCCAGGTCGTAACGAGGAAAACTGAGAACAGGCGAATTCTTCAGGAGCTTCTTGAGTTCATTAAATGCTGTTGTTTGTTCAGAAGTCCAGTTAAACTTGGCATTTTTCTTCATTAACTTGAGTATAGGTTGTGCAATGGCGCTATAATTTGGTATGAATTTTCTAAACCAATTAAATAGTCCCATGATTCGCCGTAACTCTTTAATGTTAGTTGGAGGGGGATAGTTCATAATCAATTCAACTTTGTTGGTAGGAGGTTGAATTCCATCTTTAGATATCGCATGTCCGAGAAAAACACACTTGCGTTGCGCAAAATGACATTTCGATGGTTGAAGTTTAAGTCCTGCAGAATGAAGACGACCAAACACTTCCTGAAGATCTGCAAGGTGTTGCTCAAAAGTTTCGGAACAAATGAGAACATCGTCCAAATAACACAATACTGATTTGAATGTAAGACCACGAAGGACCTTGTCCATCAACAACTGGAAACTATTTGGTGAGGTTTTTAGTCCCATGGGCAGTCGTAGAAACTTAAATGTGCCATAACAAGTATTGAAAGCTGCGTACTTTGTTGAATCTTCAGAGATAGGCATCTGGAAAAATCCTTTGCTCATATCTATGGACGAGATAAAGTTCGGCACTTTGTCTGTAAATGATTCTGTAAGTTCCTGCAAGTCAGGAATATTGTATCGGAACTCTTGCGTCACAGAATTAAGGTAGCGAAAATCACAGCAAAACCTGTAGTATGACAAACATTGATCTTTAGTTAAGTTGTTTAACTTTCCCTTTGGTTTGTTTTGTTTTGATACTAACACAATAGGGCTGGTAATAGGAACATTTTCACTTTCTTGAACAGGTGCAATAATATTCTGTCTCAAGAGATCGTCAAGCTGGTGACGCAACACTTGTTTCTTATCTGGTGGTAATCGGTATTGTCGGTGATGTTTAGGTTGCGCATCGGGCTTAAGATGAATCTGATGTTCTACAACACGTGTAAGACCTATATCAGGATTTTCCTTTGTAACAAACAAGGATTTGTTTTTAATTAAACACTCTGTTAACGACTTCTTGTCACTGGCACTCAATTCATCGTCAAAGTTGAAATTCAGCAGAAATTGTTCATTGGAATGAGGATTCACTGCTGGAGCTGACTTGGAGTCAGATAAGGTTACGTTTGAACACTCGACGGGGGTTTTGTCCAAGTCTATCGTTTGAATATGGAACGAATTGTCAAGTGGTTTGAAATGAGCCAGAATTGATCCTTTATTTACAAACACAGGTTCATCACCAGGGTTCAATATCTTAAGGGGGACTGAGCCGTTTGTTGAAATAGTAACAACTGATTTCACTAGAAGTAACCCTTTTCTCAAAAACAAATTATGTACAGAACAAACACCTGGTAAACCTATCATTTTGGTTTTGCTAACTTTGCCACTGATGAACATTTCTGACTTGGGTGGCACTGAAAAACTTGATCTACATCTAACTTTTGTACATTTGCTCTGACCTCTAAAAGTTACAAATTTGTCAAAATCTAACACAATCTTTTTAGAAATCAAATAACAAGTACCAAGTATTAAAGGATGAGATGCACAATCTAAAATATATACAAAAATTGAATGTACTTTAGACGAACAAGATGTCTGCACTGAGATACTGGCTATCCCAAAGACGCAAACAGACTGATTATTGGCCAATTTGACAGTCTGCTCACTGCACGATCGAACATTTGATTTACTGTTAACTGGTAATT